GGAACTGCACACCTCTCTCTCCAAATTCCTATCTTCATCGTTATAGCACTTTATCGAAATTGAAGGTGAGTTCCCATTTGTTGCACTGATTCATGGCAAGATGATAGGATTCATGGAAATAACAATTCATAATAAAAAAATGAACTCATAATACCCTCCCACCAGTATCATAAACGAATTCATGAAATCTGTTAAAAAGCACTTTGATCATCTTGGTAATTCGCGAATATATAACAAATTCATTAGAGGGAGAATTATCTCACCAAGCGTACATATATCTCACCAAGACAGTGATTGATATTAGAGAGATAATTATTAATCAGTATTAGAGAATGTATTTGAAACAAAAAATCAAAGTGATGTAACGATGAAGAGAGGTATACAGTTCCCAAGCCTAGAGAGGGGGTGGAAACCTAAAGAGAGAGAGAGAGGGAATGTGAGAGAAAAATTAGGATTATAAGAGATAATTATGAGCCGTTAGATTTAATTCTAATCTAACGATGATGAGATTGGTTGTAAAGGTGATAAACTTACCTGGTGGTAAGTATAACCCTCCCCCAATTTTTTTAGGACAAAATCGATTATTTTCTATACCTTTAACTTAGGGGCCATTTGTAAAGAGATGAATTTTAGATTTCCATAAAACTCATATTGGGAATCCTAATTATCCATGTTTGGTACAAGGATTCTTAAAATTTTCCTAGAAAAATGAGATTCCTGGAAATTAAAATTGTGAATAAGAATCTCATGAAATAATACAACCAGGTGAGTGTTATTCTTGGATTTCACCTGGTGGGAAAATTTTACATAATTTATAAGACATAAATAATCATGCTTTAATATTTTCATGGCTAAAATACCATCTTTTTGTTAAAACCCTAGCCGTAATATTCTGCTTCACAAAATCATGGGTTCTTCTCTTCTCTTTCAGGACACTTTTACTAGGTTCCACTCTACTTTATGCCGCTTCGCTCCGGTGATCCCAACGCCACGATTGTCTGGTTTCGACATTAAATCGATAGCCATGATATCTACTTCACGTTCGCTTCGCTCCGTTGAATTCTCTTCCTCTGTAGACACGGAATTTCTCTTCAGTATTTCTAATGAATGTTGTGAGTTAAATGATAGAAGGTATTTGTCTCTATCCCTGACTCTCTTTCTGAGAACACTTTCGAAAAAACAAGATAATATTGTGTTGTATTTTATAAAGACCTTCCGTAATATGAGAATTAGCATATGACCATATATACAATGAGTGAGGAGCGTTATGAGAACAGTCAAATTCATTTGGAAAATTTGGATTTGATCTCTAATGTTGCGTTTTGACTATTTTGTAGAATATCAACTTTTTTCCAAAGATTCATCAAAAGTCAATTTTGTAAAATCAGTACACAAAAATTATTGATAATCAATCAAACATAGAAACTGAAAAGCTTGAGCCAATATTTTTGTGAATATTTTTGCATATCAAACAAATTTTTTATAATATTCTTGAAAAATTCACTTTCCCAAAATATTTTTAGGAAAAAAAAAGTCTCATATACCAAATACTCTCTAAAAGCAAATTAAAAAAAAACTCCTTCCAAATATTATAAAATATATTTTTCCAGCATGACTCTACACATTCTCCTTCCAAATTTCAAGTAGAATACGTCGCATCTTATTATAACGCGCACTTGAGAAACCATATGTCATTTTTTCATCTTAATACAAATTATATTAAGACGTGTTTAACATACATGATGTAATATGACGTCTGGTCATTCCAGCGTGATTTTGGAGATCATCTTATACTCGGCAGTAGTATGTACATCTGCAATTAAGAAAATGTAATTAAAAAATATTTTTTTCTTTTTTCATACGGACAACACAGTTTTTTGCTTCATGTTGATTGGTTAGTCGCATGAAGTGTATTGTGCGACGGTTGCACAATAGATATTTATGTGATTTTGAGCCTAAAATTCTGAAGCAATATTTTATGGGAAAAATAAGTATGTTTAAAAAGAATAAAAGTTTGTGTTCTTTTAGGTGATTTACTCAAAGTTTGACCAATCAGATTTTGTGTAAATCTGAAAAGTTTTTTTTTCTTCTCAGTCACATTGCTGACATGTAAAGTAAAAAAAATAACTTTTCAGATTTACACAAAGTATGACCGGTTAGATTTTGTGTAAGTCACTAAAAGGACACACACTAAATCTATATTTTATAATTTATTTCCTTCTGAAATCACGATTTAGTATTCATTAATTTGACAGTAAGTTTCTTAAATTTTTTATGAGAAAAGTATTTGTCATTTTTAATGAAATTACATCATTTTGATATATTTTTGTATTCTCTCTCCTCCACTTTCTTTTTTTTCCTAATTCTATAAAAAAGAAAGAAATGTAAAAAAATATTAAAAGTACATCCAAATGACGTAATTTCATTAAAAATAACATAAAGTTGTGTCATTTAAAATGGCAAACACTCCACATTTTTTATAATCTAAACCAATACACATTTTCAATTATATTTTGAAATTATAATTTTAGAATTGTTTTTTTAAATATTATCCTAACAGCATAAGCTATTTTACTGCGCACTTAATTTCAACAAAATTATACAAAATCGTAAGCAAATACACATGTTTGGACTTTTTCACTCTTTTGCCCCTTATTAATTAATTAATAACCATTTTGCCCCTGATTCGAAACTATCTACCAATCTGTCCCTTTTTAATCGACTACCTTGCATTTTTAATCGACTAAACAGTTGTTGGGAGATCTAATCGACTAAATCTCTCTACTTAATCGATTAAAATCATACTGACTTATTTTTTTTTTTTTGTAAAATATGAAGATTTAGTCGACTAAATAGGGAGATTTAGTCGACTAAATCTCCCAGCAGCCATTTTTTGTCTGTTTTGGCCATTTAGTCGATTAAAAATACAAAGTAGTCGATTAAAGAGGGGCAGATTGATAAATAGTTTCGAATCAGGGGCAAAATGGTTATTAATTAATTAATAAGGGGTAAAAGGGTGAAAAAGCCCACATGTTTGCATAGAAATGGTATTCCGTAAATTTATTTTTCCAACCGGTGAGATTATAACATATACAACACAGGTTAAATATAAAAAAGAAATTTAATAATTAAGATAACCCATTTTAATTGATAGAATATTAAAATTGAATCTAGTTAATCACTAATATTAAATAATTTGATATAGCTCCTAAATATAAAAGGGGAAGCTAATAATTTTAATAATCAATTCTTATCGGTAGAATATTAAAATTGATTCTATTTAATTAATAATATTAAATTATTGAATATCTTTCTTAATATACAAAATTTTGATTCTAATTTCATCTACAAATTAAAATTATGCACGAACCCCACCTAAAATATATAATATGATTCTTGTTTGATATATGAAAACATAACAAAAATTATGTCCAAATTCATGCCAACAAGTTGACGGATGTGAGAGATATATAATATAAAATTATTGAATGACCATCACTTATAAATTTAAGTTTTGTGGGTTGAAATATATATATTTTTTTTATAAACAGTTGAAATAATTTTTTTATATGATATTAGAGGCGACGTAACTAAATGGTTATAAATTCGATTCTCCTTATCCCGACTTTCAGGTGAAATTAAATCAGTACAAGATATATTCAGAAAATAGGTTTATATAATATCCATACTTCAAATCTAAAAAATATATTTCTCTTATTTTAATTTTAAATAACTAATGCTTACAAAAATTTAGGACAAAACTAAGACAGCCTACAAACAAGAGACTTATAATTCATACCACAATTTTACATCTTTCATCAAGAAAGTTGAAGAAATAAGCCGACTCTTGCTGGCTAATGGTTTGATACTGCTCTGTTTTTGCTTTATTATTTATACAGATATTAGCTCCGGCACACGAGCCAAAGTGAAAAAAATAATAAATAAAATTCTTCTGATGCATATTTAGTTAATTAATTTGTTCAATGCTCACAACTCACAAGGATAATAGTACTAGTAAGGTCACCAATGTCACCACATGCTTAGATTAAGGTTGAGGTCTTGGATTGCGTACAGTTAAAATAAATAAATAAATTAAATTGCTAGCTAGACAGACTTGTTATTCAACTTATTCAAATAAAATGTAGCGTAACTGAAGGAGAAGGGCATAAGTACATGAATAAAATTAAGATTTGAATAAAATTTTTTTCCAATTGGGAGGTGTAAATATTCAAATTTTAATGCTGTATGATCAAATTTTAATACTGAATGAGATATTTTAGACGTCCATCATCTAGAAGATCAAGAAAGACGATAGAAATAGAAAATTAAAAAAATAAAATAAAATATTCATTTATTGATACTAAGGGTGTATATGACAACCTTCATGGAATTAATTCTTTTTTAATTTCTGTTCCCGGAACAAAAATGGATAGAAAACTCGTTTGGTCAAATCAGGTTATTTTTTTGTTCCCGAGATGAACCGGTTTAAATTTTGTGCTGGGAACAGAAACAAGAATCAATTTTTTCTTTTTGCTTTTTTGTTTCCTATAACAAAATGAGAAACACTTGTCTCTCTCAATTACTCCCCACCACCACCATCATCTCGACACGACCACCACTACCATTGTCGCTGTTATCATCGTACCTCCAGTGTCGTTGTCACCACCATCATGATTCCACCGCCACCATCACCACCACCTCCATCCATCGCCATGCCACCACTACCACGCCACCACCACAACCACCGTCACCGCCATTATTGCTGCAGCAACTGTCGTCACCATTACCACCATGCCATCACCACCACCATCGCCACCACCGCTACCAACTACCACCACCGTCGTCGCAGCCACCACCACCATCGCCGTGTCATTACCACCGTCGTCGCTACCACCATCACCACAGCCAATGTCGTCACCACCACCACCACCACCACGCCACCGCTACTATTGTCCTAGCCACTGCCGTCACAATCACCACGATCGTCGTAGTCACTGCCGTCACCATCGCCACCAACTACCACCACCGTCATCACAGCCACTGCCGTCACAATCACCACGATCGTCGTAGTCACTGCTGTCACCATCGCCACCAACTACCACCACTGTTATCACAGCCACTGCCACCGCCACCACCACCATGTCATTACCACCACCGCTGTCACCACCATCATTACCACAACCACTGTCGTCATCACCACTACCACCACCGCCAATATTGCTCCAGCCACTGCCGTCACCATGACCACCATGCCACAGGCTACCGCTGCCACCGCCATCGCCACCGACTACCACCACCGTCGTCGCAACTACTGTTGTCTCCACCACCACCATATCATTACCACCACCGCTACCGCCGCACCATACCATATGGAAAAGAAAGGGTAATCTGAAAAAATTTATGCTTTACAGGAATATATTTTATTATATTGTTTGTTATGTTATCAAACACAATTCTCATTCTCGGAATAAAAATAGAACATGTTATCAAACATATTTATTTTTCTCAGAAACTGTTCGAAGGCACAGAAATAGAAAAGAATTGTTTCTTTTCAGAAACAATGCTAGGGAACAGAATGGTTGTCATGCACGCCCTAATCTTAGCGCGATAGGCAACGAACTTAGTATTGGGCTCCTAGAAAAGCTACTAAAAGTTTATAATTCGATTACTTAAACTCAATAAAAAATAGATATAATTAATGAGTTTGATTTGAAAAATGATAACTGTTGATTGACGAAAATCAACGGTTAAGACGTGGTAATAACATTATTTGGTTGTCACAATAAGATATTGTGACAACCAAATAATGTTACTACCACGTCTTAACCGTTGATTTCCACCAATCAACGGTTATCATTTATTGCAAATTAATAATTAATTAATGAGTTTGATTTGAAAAATGATAACCGTTGATTGGCGGAAATCAAAAGTTAAGACGTGGTAGTAACATTAGTAGTAACATTATTTAGTTGTCACAATATCCTATCCCATAAAACTTATAATTACGAAATTTACTTTCTCTTTTATATATGTTATCACCTCTGTGCATTATAATCTATTATTGTCTTAAAGAGATCTTTTATAGATAATTGAGAGAGCTTAAATTCAAAATTAATACACTAATTTTTAACTAGACATTTCTATTCAGAGAGATAAAACAAATGCATAAGTACATGGATAAGAACTATTGTTTGAATAAGGTTTATTTCGGAAGTATAATAAAATGCTCGATTCCATGAGCGGTCCAGCATTCATTCTTGTTATCTTTATTTTTTTCCCAACCTCCTTATCATTTAATCATTTGTTTTCCACAGTGTTCTTCCTGTCGTGGGTAGAAACACAAATATAAAGTATAAACTATTCCCTATTTAGGTCAAGGATATTATTTCTATTATTAATCATAATAAAATATCTATGATAATACTAAAATTTATTTTAGTCAGCCCTTTTTGAAATGAGAATACTGAGCACACAGGATTGCTCTTTCCTGCCATTATCTAAAATGCCGCTCACATATCTCAAGATTTCTTAAATCCTAACACGAATAACTCAGGAAATAGATCAAACTTTTAATTTTGCACAATAATACTGATGACGGGCCAGACTGAATTGAATCTCTATATCATAATATACGGTGGTGACATTTGTAAAGATATGACTAATAAAGAAAGAAATAAATACAAAATCTCATTCTCATTAAAAAAATTGGGAATATCCATATTTATCTGCCATGTTCGGACTAATCAGTCATCACACACAGTTTCTCTCTCTAAAAAAAGTCCACAGAGACCACCCTAAATCCCTGTTTGTGTATTCTTTCTGCTCTTCTCTCTCTCATCTTGCCCTCTGTCCGTTAACGCGTTCACGCGTATAGTTGTCGCTTCTACGTGTGTGAACCCTATATATAACCACCCTCCCAATTAGTCTAATAGCAGGTGCAGAAAATTAATCACCCTTTTATTTTCTCTGCATCTGTTTATTCCTTTCTCCATCACCAATCAATCCAACTATTCCATTCCACATCCATCAAAAGAGAAAAATAAAAAATAAAAATAAAAATTCCAATTACAATACTACGATCGATATTCCAATAAAAGAGGAAAGCAAATGCCGTCATTGGAGGATGAACTCTTTCCATCAACACCAGGAAAGTTCAAGATCGAGCGAACTCACAACATGAATCGTCAGGTTTACCGGTGCTTCGCTTCCACAAGCACCATGTTCTTGTGGGCCCTCTTCCTTATTGCACTCACCGCTTCCTACCTCAGCTTCCAAAGCTTCGTCGATTCCGGTAGCCGGTATCTCTCGGCTTCCTGGGGTGGGATCCAGTGGGAGAAGCAGGTTCGCACCTCAGCTCAGATCCACCGACAGGGAGGCATGTCGGTTCTGGTGACCGGCGCTGCCGGTTTCGTCGGGTCACACGTGTCCCTCGCTCTCAAGAGAAGAGGAGACGGCGTCGTTGGCCTCGACAATTTCAACGACTACTACGACCCTTCCCTGAAGAAAGCGCGTAATGCTCTCCTCACCACACATGGCATCTTCATCGTCGAAGGGGACATCAACGACGCTAAGCTATTGGCCAAGCTATTCGACGTCGTCGCTTTCTCTCACGTGATGCACCTCGCGGCTCAAGCTGGTGTCAGGTACGCCATGGAAAACCCTCACTCTTATGTTCACAGCAACATTGCGGGGCTCGTCACGCTCCTCGAGGCGTCCAAATCGGCGAACCCTCAACCCGCCGTTGTTTGGGCTTCTTCCAGCTCCGTCTACGGCCTCAACGAGAAGGTTCCCTTCTCAGAGTCTGATCGGACCGACCAACCCGCTAGCCTCTACGCCGCAACGAAAAAAGCCGGCGAGGAAATCACCCACACCTACAACCACATATACGGCTTGTCCATCACCGGATTGAGGTTCTTCACCGTTTATGGACCCTGGGGAAGACCCGACATGGCTTATTTCTCGTTTACCCGCAATATTCTTCAGGGAAAACCCATCACTGTTTACCGGGGCAAGAACCGGGTCGATCTGGCCCGGGACTTCACGTACATTGATGATATCGTGAAGGGCTGCGTCGGGTCGCTGGATACTTCAGGGAAGAGTACCGGGTCGGGTGGAAAGAAACGGGGACCCGCCCCGTATCGAATCTTTAACCTTGGGAACACTTCTCCGGTGACTGTGCCGACGCTTGTGAGTATCCTGGAGCGTCACTTGAAGGTCAGGGCGAAGAGGAATATGATTGACATGCCTGGAAACGGTGACGTTCCGTTCACTCATGCTAACATAAGTTCGGCCCGAAGAGAACTCGGGTATAAGCCCACGACCGATTTGCAAACCGGGTTGAAGAAGTTCGTGAAGTGGTACCTTTCCTATTACGGCTACAATCACGGCAAACCTGTAAATTAATTTCGTTTCCCTTTTTTTGTGTTTTTTCTTTTTTTAGCCTATTAGAATTTTTAATGACAGATAAGGAGGTTAAAAAAGAAAACTAAATTTGGAAAGAAGAAAAGAAAGAACATGGTCAACAAGAAAAGAAAGGAAACGGGACTTAAAAAAAAAAAAAAAAGAGAAAAGAAGGGGAACAATTCTTTACTTAGGAGGCCAGCTAAATCAGCGGTTCCTTAGTTGATTTCTTTTCTTTTTTTGTATTAATTGGTGTTTTTTGTAACTTTTTTTTTTTCATCATTTTTTCTTTTGTGTAAAGAAAGAAAGTTCAAGTTCATTTTGTCTACTGTTATTATTTATTTTTGATATTTAACTTTCTCCTATCTTTGATTCAAGCGAGACTGGGTTGCACCGTAATTTTCGTTTTGGTTGTTGGTTCATCAATCAGCGCTGTCATGTGGATGGTTTATATTCTTAAATTAATCATTCGAATAAGGAATTTAGCGAAAAGTTAGATTATTTTATGAGAAATATTAATATCATGTTACATGAGAATAATTTTTTCATCTTATAAAGAGAATTCAAGTGGGGTCCATTTTTAAAAGTAAAAAGAAAAAGAAAAAGAAAAAAGAAAAAGAAAAAGAAAAAAGAGAAGGTGCGATTTTTGAAAAGACAAAAAATAAGATAACTAATTCATGTAAAATGATATTAGTATTTTTTTATTTTATAAATGAGAATTTTAGTGGATAAAATATATGGTGATTTTGGGGAGGGTATTGGAAGAGTGGAGACAGCGAGGATGATAGCGACAAATGGTGCAATGGGTGAGATACGGCTGTGATGGGATACGCAGAGTACTAGCCGTTGGATTTTGGGGAATTGGATAGATTTCTCCAGCTGTAAAGTGTTACGTAGTAGCAAGGCAATGCAGTGCAGAGCTTGCCGACAGTGGTATGAGAAATGTTCTATATTTATTTTTTTGATTTAGAGAATACATTTCATACTGGGCTTTTCTGGTGGGTCCAATGGCATTGTTGTTCCGTGATGTGAATGTGACCATTTTTTTCTACAAATATTCGTGATGGGGGAAAATGGAGTCTAATAGGGTTTGTCCATGTTATGCGAATTTGCTTTAAATGGGGCCCCTTAGGCTTTGGCCCCAGTGATTTGTTTGCTTATTAATCATTGCAACTTTCAACGCTGCGAGTGTGTATCTTGGCCAAAATCGGCATGTTAAAACAACTGGAGTAATCTAATTGAATTGTTTGAATGAATAATACGTCATATCCACCGACATGCTCTATGGGCCCAATTAACACGTGGCCACGTGGGTTTGTTTGTCAATTGACAAACTGCAGAGTTACTTTTTTGTTTCTTACAAAGCGAAATTACGAAAAACAAAAAGCAAATTTGGAGATGTTATTATCAGCATTAAGAAGCTTGTGCAGTTGCATCGAGTTACTACATACATATCTTAGCGATACACGCTAAAAAGACGTTGTATTCACCAACCGGAACGCTGAGTTTAGGTTAGCCTTGATTGATTGACCAACTTGTGCGATTGGTTGGTTGAAACTATAAACTTTTTGTTTGGATGTAAAATGAGAATCAAGTTATTTGAGGAAAGTGGTTCAAGTTGTTTCGTTCTAATTTCATTACTTTTTTGCGACTTTTTTTTTTTTTTTTTTTTTCTGTTTTGAGGGCAGTTGAATACGATGTTAACAATAAGTATAAGAATAGAAATTTAGTGTGACAATATGGTAGGAACTACAGTGTACCTTAGCAGCTGAATATTAATTAGGCAGTTCTATCTTGCTGAAAAAAGAAAGGTGATGTTCGCTTTGGCAAGCATACGGGTCATGAAAATAATAGTGATGAAAAAGAGTATTATCCTCACATATATGGAGTATTATCCTCACCTATAAATTGAATTATGAGTCTAACAGAATTGTGCCACGTAAGCATATATAATTCGCTACATAGTGTAGTGAATTATACCTGGCTTGACATATGTCCTAAGGCTGACTGTGCATGACTGTCATCTTGTCCATGTAATTCGCTACACTGGGTAGCGAATTATGTGGCCATTTGAGAGGTGACACATCAGCAGACATAATTCGTTACACAGTGTACCGAATTATGCCACGTGACATTCTGAAAAAATTTACTGTTGACGTGACAGTCTGATAAATATTTTGATGGAACGTGACAAAATAGTCACTGTTCCCTAATTAACTACTAAGTACTAATTATTTAACCAAATCTATTGAACCGATAAGCAAGTGGAGAGTTGTGCCAAAATCGCGTAAATAAGAAAATTAAGTTAAAATACAGACACTTTAAGATTGAATTAATATTTTTTTGTTTTTGTTTTTGTTACCAAAAATTACGACCTAAAACCTGTGAAACACGGACTCGTGTTTTTGGGTGAATTGTGTCTGTCGGACACGTGTCCGACATAAACACGTTCCGACACGCGGTAAATATTTTGAGATACGTGGTAACCTCTTGGACACGCTTCGACATGTTTTTTGGACACACAGTCAACTCTTTTCGACACGTGGTCAACGTTCGGACACGCTAGGACACGTTTTTTTTTTAATCTTTATTTTATTTTATTAACTAAAAATAAAAAAAATTATTTATAAATCAATTTTTTTCTGTTATGAAATTTGACATGAAAAAATAATAAGGTACGAAAAATTATTTTTGTGTAGATTTATTTATGAAATTTAAATATTTGATTGAATATATGACTTATTAAAGGCTGTTATATCTATTAAAAATAAATTATAATATATATAAATATATTATAATATATATATATTAAAAATATTATTTAATATCAAAACGTGTCCCAACGTGTCGAAATATGTCATTTTTTAGAATTAACGTGTCGGCGTGTCGTGTCGTGTCCCGTGTCAGTGTCCGTGCATCATAGCCTAAAACTATTTAAAATCTCTTTCATCTACTAATATTATTGTAACTAATATAAAAAAACTTTATATTTATTATTTTTAAATATTTTCAAAGATATATTATACTTTTGTTTAAGTAAACATTAAATAAGTATATAATTTATTTTTTATTAATTGAATAAATCTTAATGATAATTGATCAAATTGAGCTTAAATAATTTAAATATTCAATTTGATCAGCATTAATTGTTTTACAGGGAAAAGTTCAAAAACTCCCCTATCTATTGCTTTGAATCACTTATATCTTTTTTTTTTTAATAAGTTAATCCCCTGTGAATTTTTTCATCTACTCCTTCTTTAACACTGTTAGAAATTTGACTAAATATATTTATTTTACCTTTCTTGGAAAAAAAAAATGATAAAAAAGATCAAATGTTATGAAAACTTACAATACTTAATAAAAGACTAAAAGAAAAAAAAGATCAAACATGTTTGAATAAAAAAAATAGAACAAGGGCAAAAAAATAAAAGAACAAATAAGACCAAATATATTAAAAATCATAACAGTAACATAAAAAATAAAATTTAAAAAAATAAAAATAGCCTAAATGAAAACAATATATACTGAATACAAACAAATAGAAGGAAAAATTAAGATAAATAAATAGAACAAAAAGAAATCACAGTTATGAATTTTTAATATATATTGGTTTTATTTTTATTTTTTTATTTTTTTTATCACTAGATGGTTTGAACATTTTTATATCTCTAATCTATCTCTTTTTTTCATTTTTTTACAAAAATCTTTAGTAAATGGGCTGCACAAGGCTAAAAATGAGAGAGAGAATAAAATCAGAATAAAATAGTCCAAAAAATATAAAAAAAGACCAAATATATTTAAATAAAAAAGAATAAAATAAATCAAGAAAAAAAAGTCAAATAGATTGAAAACTCATCATTGTGATTTTTTTGTTTTATTTATTTTTTATTTTATTTTTTATCTTAAATTTTCTTCTATTTTTCGTTTTTAGTATTTTTTTATGAAGGAGGTTATATTTATGATATTTTTCACTTACGACCTTTTATAACTCAATCTTAACCGTTGATCCTCATTCTAACAGTTATAATTTATTGGGTTATAATTAAAAAATTATAATCGTTAGATTGACGGAAATCAACGGTTAAGATTGAGTTGTAAGGGATTGTAAGTTAAAAAAGGTAATAAGTAAGGGGAATAACATCTATCCTTTTAAAGTATATAAGCTTATATCATTTTAGATCCTTACCGTTAATTTTCGTCCATCAACGGTTATAATTTATTGGAACAAAATTATTAATTAATTAATATTAAATTTGGCCCATTAAGTTTGATCTAATAGATTATAACCGTTGATGGACGTAAATCAACGGTTAAGATCTAAAATGATATAAGTTTATATCCTTTAAAAAGATAAATATTTTTCCCATAAGTATAACATTTATCTTTTTTTATTTGAACTATAAAAGGTTGTGATTTCTTTATAAAAAAAAAGGTTGTGATTTTTAACATATTTCACTTTTTTTTTATTTAGACATTTTTTTTTATTTAAGTCTTTTAAATTTGGAAAATAATACTCTTATGTTGCATGAAATTCATCTCTCATGTTACACTCACATAAGAAGATATGCCTTTTTTTTAAAAAAATAAATTGATGAACCCCACTTTATTTGTCTCATAACATAAGATAACTTATCTCCTAATACATGAGAGAAGTAAAGCCCTTTAAGTTTTTATAACATTTGATTTTTTTTTAAGACTTTAATGTTTCTAAAGTAAATGTAGATAAATTATCTACATTCACTCCTAAAATGACGTTGTTTTGAGTTAAAAAATTAAAAAATTATAATGAGAAAAGACAATTATAACCCTGAAATAAATTGTAATTACAAAAATATCTTAATTTTTATCCTAAAATTACTTCATTTTGGACTAAATGTAAATAATTTAACCTACATTGACTGCAAATAAAAAAACCCTTTTTTGAATCACTTTATTTTTTTCTTTTATGAAAAATAAAATATATATTTAATTAGGATTTTAACCATGTTAAACATGGCTGCACAGGTATAAAAATAAAAATAAGAGGAATTAAGTGATTAAAAAAAAAAAACATATAACTATAAGTGATTCAAATGAATATTATACGGGGTTTTTAAATCTTCCCCTATTTTATATTAGAAAAAAATATTTATCATTAAAAATGATATAATTTTACTAAAATAACAAAAACTTACTTATTAAAAATTATACAAATTTATTTCATTTAAAATCAGAAACACCTGCGCCTTTATATTATTCTAACCCAAGAGGTATTCTTTTATCAGCTTCAATAATTGTATATGTCCCAAACTGTACCGAATGCTATTTGGGCGCTC